TCCCTGCACACCCTTAATTCCTTTTTAATTGCTTTTCCGTGTTGGTTACGGGATAAGACTGTCTCTCTTCATTTAGTGGAGAGATGGGGAAAGTGTGAGTGTGTGTGTGTGTGTGTTGGAGCGGTGGTGATAGTGTTGGCTGCTGATGGTTATAGTGGGGGGGGGTCAGATGCTAAAGGTGCGGGGGTGTTGGTTGCAGGCCAGTTGCAAGGCCAGTTCTGAGATAATTGGTGGCCGTTTCAAACAAATCTAAGTGTTGAATCAAAGCTTCCTTTTTTTTTTTTTAAGAAACAAGAAGGGCTTTGATAAAACACTGTAAAAATCTGACTTCATTTGATGAAAGCAACTGAAGGATTAAATAAATGATGTACCATGATTACAGTATACTGCAGCACACCCCTGCAAATGAATGTTTTCAGATTCAAACACTGTGGTGGATTATGATTATGATGATACAATTGAGAAACAAATGTGAAACAAGAAGCCAAATCCGTTTGTGTGTTCACAGTGTTTTTCCAGAAATAAGCCTGAATAGGACCATTTATAAATCAGCATTATTCAGTATTATTTTGTTAAAAATGTTTATGACCAATCTGGCCAAAGGTTAGATAAAACCAAAATATATTGGCTACGGGCAGCGGTCAATTAGCTTAGCAAAAAAGCCTAACTCTTTAGATAAAGATCAACAACCAGCAGATTTTTTAGAACGCTAAGATAACCGACTGCTAATATTAGCTTTTTTAATATGGGTTAAAGAACAGTATATTTTGTATGCTGTTTAAAATGGACAGTATGCTGTAGTTAGCATTTAAAGACAAATGAAAATGTGAGCTACTGAACCAATTTACGGTTAATAAGCAAAAAAACATAATGTGTCAATCTGTGAATTTTGGAGGTGCTGGTTTGTGAATGTGCAAAATGTGCAAAACTTTAAACTAATACTTCAATAATAAGCATAAATCAATACAGTTCTACCAAAAAGTGACAGGAATGACTAGTGAACCTGAAAATGTGGAAACAGCCAGTATCTTATTTGCCATGCTCTTTCTCGTGCACCAAAATCATCAGGAAATGCATTAGAAATACAAGCTTGTTCAATATTTTTTTTTAAAGATGGCCCTGTAAACAACATTAGCCAAGTATCAGGTCCATCAAACGGCTGCCTGACTGACGGCACAGCCCACGGCACCACATAACTTGGCAACCCCCGAGTTACTTTTATCCAGCAGAGTGTGTGGTGGTTAATCAAAGCCCGTAATTTCCATAATTCATGGATGCCCATCTGTTTGCCACCTACTCCCATGCCCAGTGCAGAGTAAACAAATTCAGGAGAGGGGCCAAGGGGCTATTTAATGACAGCATCAGCCATGGCTTGCGCAGCTATCCACACAAACACGCCATATTCTAATCCATCCTTCAACGCAACTATAAATTATTCCAAACACAGTTGTTTAATCCATCTAAGGTGTGACATTTGCATCTTAATTCACAAACTCATTCCCATGCACACTGTGCACTTTTAGAAGATTTTCAGATAACTCATAAAATCTCAGATCTCCATCCCGACAGTTTCCCACTAACGTCTTGTCACACTATGGGATTGTACAGATTTCCTCCTGATAACAATCTGACTACTTTGATGTTATTGAGGGGCCCTGGGACTAAACTGCATGATTGAATCAGCAGAACCCAGGATAGAAAGAAGCCGATAGAGCTTACAGGGAAGTTGATTAGCTGTATGAATCAGGGATAAACTCTTACCTTCCAGACATTATATCAGTGGAGAAGGCAATAAAGAACCAAATATGGCTCTTCCCAGGACAAATTTTGCACTGGGATGGTTAAAAAGTTCTATTTTTAAATATCTCACCTTTGTTTTTTGTACTAGAATTAACTTTAATTGGCGCAAAATAATTTCCATGCTGCAATTTAAATGGTAACTCAAGCGTTTTTAATCCGGTTTTCTCCTCAAGCCTCCCACTGCACTAGTTAAAGATTTAAACTGGGTAAAACAGTTGTCTTTTAATGGCTGGAGGTTTGGTTGGTGCCTGCGTGCTGAGAGCTGCTGTCACTTCCTTAGGGGTTTTATTCCCTAATGAGATATGGTATAATACATCACCAAAAGTGATGTCTGCCAAAAAGGCAAGCCATTAAATCTAATGATGGCACCTTATAAACATCAGGAGACAACTGGAGTTTTAAAAAAAACAGGTTGGACGAACTTAACAGCATTTAACGCTACAAATCTTCAAGTTTGGTGTGGTGTGAGAGGGTCACAGATGTAATCAGAGCCCCTCTGACCCAGCTCTAGAGCTCCATTTAAAGTATTAAACCTGGAATACACTGGGGAGAGACTGAGGACAAATAACGTTTCTCACAAAGACACGTAATGCCTAAAGTTCTCCAACTCTGTAATGTATCAAAAAGTGTCTCTCCGAAACTTGAAAATAAATCTGAAATCAGGCCTTATTTGGAGAAACTTCCATTCCACTCAACCTTGGCAGGAGTCTGTCTTCGAACACAAAGCCGACTGGGCAGAGAGCTGAGGAGTGATTCTGACAGTTACTTGTGTTGTATAGTGCAGGTAAAGAGGCGGCTGTGGCTCCGCTTCCTGCAATTCAGCAACATATAAAAAATTAAGGTGTTTATATCCTTCATAGATGCAGAGAAGGTCATCTGTGCTTTTATCTCTTTCTTGTTTAGACAACTGCCAATGTCACCCTCACGTCTCAGGCTCGTTCAGGATGCAAAGGCTGCGACTGGGTGCTAATTCTTCAGCACTCCCGGAAAAAAATACATCTAGTTTGTCTAATGCTGGCGATTCATACTAAATGTCACTTTTCCCCAAAAAATCTAGTTCAAACCAATTTGACATGACAAGCGATTTGATCGATGTTATTCAAAAACAGAGGCAAGCTATGCACTAAACTCTACATTATTAATTTGATCAGGTCATTTATAAATCCAGGTCCTATTATTTGCAAAAAAATATGTTTCAGTGACATTGTTTTTATCTGTAAAGTGCATTAAGACCAGTAAACTTTAAAGGCTGCAAATGCAAGGGTGGTAGGCATGTGTGAAAGTTATCGGGTGCAGAAAAAGTGATCGTAAGACAGAGTCATGAGGATATTTGCTTATTTTTAGACATCCCCTATTCATAAATCATGTGAATTACAGTCTAGCTTCCAAACAAAAGAAAAAGGACATTAGACATAAGCTACCGAACACATCAGAAACAATAGTAATGATTGGAATCAAGTAGTCTTAACATCTGATGTGACTGTCAATGAAACAAATACAGAGATTTACTGTAACCAGGGACGTAAAGTAACTTAAGACTTATATTTATCCAGATAAAGGCAACAGGAGACATAGAAATATAAACTGAGTGATACAGACTTAAATGGCTAACACACACACACACACACACACAAACAAACACCAAAACAAATACACACACACCCACACACTAACAAACAAACACAGACACACACAAACACACACTAACAAACAAACACAGACACACACACACACTAACAAATGAACATTAAGATAACATAAACAACAGTTAGCTTAGCTTCCTAATAGTTCCAGTGTGTTCGTACCATCACATACCTGTCCTGTGCTGTGTTAGCCTCTGCTAGCTTCTGGCTAACTTCTGCTGCAGCTCACTGGCTCATAAACAGCTTCTGGGATTTTCAGTCGTTTTTATCGAAAGTATCCAAAGTAAAATGTCACGTGAGTTTCATGACGCTCAGTGACAACAACACAGAGAACTAACAAACAAACAAACAAACAAACAAACAAACCAGGAGACTCTTTGTTCGCTCAGCTGCTGCGAGGGCGCGTTGGATTTTTTCACCAGCTGGTCACAAACTTTATTGATGTTATTTACAAGCACAAATGGTTCCACAAGAATTCAAACATATATTTGTGGTTGGTATATTTGACCATCATCATCATCATCATCATCATCATCATCATCATCATCATCTTCATCATCATCCTCAGCCTCATCGTCATCATAGTCATCTTCATCATCGTCATCATCGTCATCATCTCTTCTTTCATTCATGGTTCCTATCTCCTGAAAATTAGACAGTGGTTAACTGTTCTCAATAAATTTAGTTTAGTTTTTGTCAACATTTAAATTCACATGAAGTTTTTCTCATTCATTCTGACACCATGCAGGCGTTGGCATGAGGCTGTGGGCCGACCATCAGTGTGAGAGGAACAGCAGGAGCAGCCTTCCTGCAGCAGGTTCTCCTTTGTGAGAAATGGGAGCTGGAGTTTGTCAGACGAGCAGTAAAACTTCCATAATGCTCATCAAAAGGCATTATTTTAAGGTTTCATGAGGAGTTGCCATGGCAACACAGTGGTCAACATAGTACATGATGTTAATATAGATAATATACTTATTTTAGTTTAAGGTGTGAGGTAGTTAGAAGGTCTAACAAGTGTACATTTAGTCATTTGTATTAAACATCCAACAGATATGAAAAAACCCTGCATCTATCACTGTATAGCATTTTATTCATTTGTCATTTCTGTCAATATATTTGATTCATTTCATGTATTTTTACATTATTCTTCAATTTGATCTCAATGTCTTTCATACACAGCCGCTTAAAGAAAATCAACAAGGAGAAATGGTAAATACAAAGCTAAAAACAAACACAGGAGCTGAAATTGCAAGTAAACAATACAAAATAAAATACAATATTGTGTCTTTTTTTTTAACGTAGAGTTAATGTATGTTAGTGATGTTGGCCAAGCGCACTTCATGATTCGTTGTATTTGTGAACACTTGAGTGTTTCAGTATTATGCTACAAACCCAGTGGATTGAAGTAGCCCCAGTTTGTGCATCTCTCGTGTCAATACAAACCGGAACTATAGCTGCAACATTAATCATGAGCCGGCAGACACGATACATCTCCTTCAGTTCTGAACCACTGCTCGTTGTGTTGTGTCTCGCAGCTAAAACTGTTTTTATCCCCTAATTACCCTGGGCTCGTTCTCGTCCCAGTAATTCCTTGTCTTGAAATATCCCTGAGCCGTGACGTTTTCTAAAATAGCTTTCAAAACCACTTGATGGCTGTCTCCATAATGGCTCCATCATCTCATTTGTATATGCACTTTCACCGAGAAGCAGCAGTGACGACACGGCCGAAGACAATTATTGGCAAAGTGTCTGAAGGAAAATAAGATGTTGGTAAATGTACTGTCAGGTTTCAAAGCAACAGGGACGTCATTTACATCCATGAATGGAAGATAGGCAGGTTTCTGCTATTTTCTGCTCATACACTGTTCTTTAATGTCAACAAGGCAAAAAGGGACAAAAGAAAAACCAAATGAATTATAACATTATTAGCCTTTCACTAGGAGTCCAACTAAATCCAGTCACACAGAGCATGCACTCAGAGCTGCCTACTGAACAGCAGCATTAAAACCTAACCCCTTTAACACTCTGCATATTATAGACTTCAATCTACCTTGAAAAAATAGTCTAGACTGATGTGATATGTCCTAAATAGACATTAGGTACAGTTTTTCTTTCAGTAAGGCATGCCGTTATTCAAAAGACAGACGTTATGTGGATTCCTCCGGTTGCCTCGGCACTGCAGAGCAAACAACAGAGCTACAACCTTCACACCGGAGCCAGGAATCCACTTATGTTATATAAGCGTTAGCAGAACAAACTTGAGCTTCTTGGCTTCAGATACAGTTTAGGAAGAATCCGTCAGAAATGAAATCCCGTATGAGAAATTTTAAGTTTGTGAACGAGTTTAGAAAAGGTTGTACCTGTGCACAAAATATGTCAACGCCAGAGAAAACGATTAAAAGCAGAAAAAGTTCCCACACTGTGTATGGCACTGAAGTCATGCATGCACACACACTTAGGTTACTGCACATTTTATCCCTAGTTTGGGCATTTGTGTGCATTTCACTATTGATATACATTTGATTTTTTTAATAATTGAATATATTTTTGTACACATTTACAATTTGCAGACTTATTCACGAGTTGTTTAAGTGTACACTTAATCTGAATAAGCTGCGTACTATTTTAAAAAAGTACATTCATCTAACTATTAAATGAATTTTTCACACTAGCTTTGGTTCATATGAGACATCTTTAGTTGGTTAAAATGCTAAAAGTCAGATGGAACAGATGGAACAAATACTCGGTGTGTGTGTGTGTGTGTGTGTGTGTGTGTGTGTGTGTGTGTCCCTGCTCAATGAACACAGTGAAACATGGCCAACACTGTAAGCTGCACCTCAGGTAAATACACCGGGAGCTAAAGTGCTAAGGCTTCGTCACAAAACAATATGAAAACGAACAAAGACAGAAGAAATCATCATCTGGGAGCAGGACTAACTTTCACACAGTTAACTTTCAGCTGGCTAAATAATATATGTTTTGTCACCACCCAGTGGTCAAACAGAGAACTTAGTCATTGTTGGCAACATTTTTCAGGCTGCAGAAAAACAGCCACAGTTTCACTAAACATGTCAAGTAGCTGCTGATTTTACTTTGTGGCCCAGTTTTATTTGATGAGTTAATATCTGTCAACAGAAAATCCATCCATCCATTATCTATACTGGTGATTGTTTGATAGTCTCAGGGCGGCTGGAGCCAATCCCAGCTGACACGCTAATCGCCAGGGTAACGCAGGGCCAACATACAGAGAAAACAACCACTCACACACACTACAGTTCAGAGTCTCCAAATTACCTAACTCCGATCTGCACGTCTTTGGACTGTGGGAGGAAGCCAAAGAAAACCCACACAGACACAAAGCCCACACAGAAACACCCTGACTAAGCTGGGATTCAAACCAGAAACCTGTCAGGCGACTGTGTTCACCACTACCCCACTGTGCCATCCCTCGTAAATTGTTTAAATCAATTCAAAAAGTCATATTATAAAAAGGATCAATCCATTGTTGAGTTATACTGACATCAGCCTCCATGACGAGGGATCACCTGATCACCTGAATACTAAATCAATATGGCGGATAGTGTTCAGTAGCTACCTTGAGTTTCTTTTTAACATTAGACCTATTGACGTCTGGTTTGAAAAGACCAGAGTAAGGCAATCAGATATGGCTATGATTTATAGCACAGGTGTGACGTCATGGTTTGTGCATGCTCATGCATTCCTTCTTTTTTGTCTATGCATATATTTTACATGTGTCCGCACTTTGCATCCTGAAACTCCAGTTCCACTTCATGATTGACGACATTAAAAAAAAAAGATTTTGCCGCCTCGAGCCTCCGTACCTGACAAGAAAATGTCTGCTGGCTTGTTGTTTTTTTAAGAGGAGTCTTCTCTCGTCCATTAGAGCACAGGCAACAGATTAAATGCTTGCTTGCAAATGGGTTTTGACATCAGTTGGAGTGTCCGTGTAAGATGGAGGAGGACGAGGCAAAACTATGCTAAACAGATCAGCCTGGTCTTTCATGAAATCACACCGATCCTCCACGGGATGCTCCTGGAGCTGTGTTCATTGCAGTGTGTTAATCAGGAGCATTTCAGCAGATTGTGTGGTCACTGCATGTTAGAAAACAGTCCAGTAACATCAGGCTGAAGTACGATCTCCTGGGTCACACGTAGATCCCCTCTGGGTTGAGGCTGGAGGAGATGGTGTTTTGCAGAGTGCGGAGGTTGCTGGGTAAGAGACGTGACGAGCCGCGTCTGTTCAGAGAGCCACACTCCACCTCTGAAACAACAGAGGTTTCAAAGCACAACATAAAAGTGATTTTCCAGCTTTAACAGAGGATGAACAACATTAATTCAAACTATCAGACGTGTTATTCTTGTGATTAAAGACTCTATGAGTTCATCAGGTTGATTCACATTACGTCTGTGAAGAAGCTGCCGTGTGTTTCATACATAACGGAAACCATTGTCTGGGATTTTTATTTTGAGAATTACATTTTTTTAAATTTTTTTGACTTTAGCTTCTCAGAGGTGCTGGTGATTAGCTCCATGTAACAGGGTTACAGACATAAGCTACTGTGACTGGCCTCACCTGTACTTCACAGGATGACCACAAGGTAGCACTGTGCTCATACGCATGTAAAACCAATATATGGAGTACCTCACTCAGAATGATGATTTAACATACTAATATATACAGTATATGTGTGTGTGTGTACACGTGCCGGTGGTATTGTCCTCTCCTGTAGGTTGAGCAGGCAGCACAGTGACCTTGGTACCAGTCTGCTGAATGAACTGCTGCAGGTTGACCTGTCGCAGCTCTTTAGTCAGCTGCTCCAGCTCCTGCTCTTTCTCCTTTGCCGGAAAAAACAGAAAACACACCAGTATTGAAATTAAAGTTATTTTGAATTTTCCACAGGGGCTGTAGGGGAAGACACAAATGTTGCTCATGGGATCACTACGACAAAACATCCAGAAAATGTCGGAGTGAGCCCGTCTGAGAATACAGCACGGAAATGTGAGGATGTAAGTGTCATACATGTTGAAGATGCAGACGAAGACGTCAACCTTAACAAATGACGAGATTCAAGATAATTTATACGTCATAGAGATTTTCCTGCTGCTGTTCTCCACATGTGAACTCCGCAGGAAACGCAGGAAAAAACATGCTTTCATTCTAATCTGCATCTTTTATGTGAGGAAATTAATAAGGTATCATTCTCTGCAGAAATCAGAGCCCAGTTGAGACGGCAACAGAGAAGACTTAGCTGCCGGATGGTTACGCAACCGCAGGCGAGGGATTGTGTTCTTATTCAGGCCCCTCTCTAATCAGGCGAAGAATGCTGGAACCCTCCTCCCTCCCTTTCCCCCCCTCTCATTACCTCACGCTTCCCACACCCTGCTGGACCTCGCCTGTACATACGGCACTTTAACTCAGACTAGTACACATGCAGCCAAAAGATCCACCTCGCATCCCTGCAAGCCAGAGATTAAAATTCGCTTCACTGCCCACGGTTTAATGAGCTTAGATTTCCACAGTTCCACCTGGTTGCCGGGTACAATTTTCACACTGGAGCCAAACTTTGTAGTTAGTACTTCTTTCTGAAATCAAACAGCAGCAGATTTAACTGCTAAAAGGTGCTTGAACGTTACCTTCAGTCTACAGCGCTACAAAACAAAATAAAATAGGAGGCAGGAGAATTGGAGCTGACCTGTATTCTCTTGCCTGACTGGCCAAGTGAGCGTTCCAACACCCAGCAGCTGCTCTCCAGCCGCGCCGTTTGTTGGCTCTGCGTCTCCAGCTCTGCCCTCACTTTCTCCAGCTGAGCTCGCACCTGAAACACAGCAACAACTTTTATAGAGGAAGTGATCAAAGGTGACTCACTGGAGGACGCTGATGCTGAAAGATGGTAATTTGAAACCTTAAAAACTCCTTTTTAGGTTTGTTTGTTTGTTTGTTAGCAGGATTATGCAAAAAGTCCTGGAACTATTTTCATGAAACAAAGTGGAAGGATGTGATATGGCTCAGGGAAGAACCCATCAAACTTTGGTGCAGATCTAATGCAGGAATTAAAAAAATTCCTTTCTTTAACATTCTGGGTGGTTTTATTTTTTGACATTTTCATAGATTTTCCAGGGAAAAGTTCATGGATCTGAAAAGTCAGGGTAGCTAATACTGATGTGCAATTGGGTGCGGCTTGATTGAATTTAATTAAAGGGGACTATTTAAGGGGATTTAAGGGGACTATCGGGCCTTAGCAGAGGTATGCACTCTATTGAAAGCTTTCTATTCTGCTCTGTATCCTTTGTTAGGAAGAAATCTCCCTGTGGCTAATTTAGCAGATTCTGTGCAGCTTAATTTTAATAGTATTTTCTGCAGGACAGACAGTGAGAGGCTCCACAGATGTTTATGTGTTGAGTTTGCATGTTGTTATAAATGTTCTGGCAGCTTCTACCTCCTCGTCGTTAACCTTCTGGTTGAGCTCGGCCTCCTGCTGCAGTCGCTCCTGCTCCAGGCCTGATTCCATGCTCTGCACAACATCACAGAAAATAAAAATAGAAAGCTGTGAAAATTATCTTCACAAACTACTTTACTCTGCTTTTTATGCAGGAAATCTTTAAAATCCACAGTGAGATTGTACAAAGAGACAAATACAGAACGTTTCCATGTTGTTTTATAAATCCAGTGGAATCTGGAGTCGTCTTTTTCAATGCCACGCTCACCTGTATGCTTGTTATGTATTCTAAAAGCTGGGCCTCGCAGTCGCGTACACGGCCCTGCAGCTCGGCCAGCTGCTGCCGGAGTTGCCGCTCGCTCTCCTGCTCAATTTGCAGCTCGTTCTCCCAGAATTCCTCCTCCTCCATCTCGGCATCGTTCCTCCTCACCTGCTGCTCTAAAAGCAGCAGCTCCTCCTCCAGATTTTCTCCCTGGTGACAGAGATAAAGATTTCATTTGGAAACTTGCCCCATAGAGAATATAAAATACTCCAGAGATGAAATAAGAAATGCTTGATTTACGGTCTAAAAGCTAATAGATGTGAGGACATGTGGATTTAGAGTTTTCTGTAAGTAAAAGCTCTGGCAGCTGTAGTTTGTCTTTACTTCGTTGGCCTCGCCGGCAGCCTCCTCCCAGTCTCCCAGCTCGGCCTCGCAGCCCAGCAGACGGCTCTCCAGGGCCTGGAGTTTGTCTCTCTGCAGCTGTACCAGCCGGCTCAGCTCTCTGGCTGGACTCCCAGGCACAGATGCTACTCCACCACCTCCAACTCTGCTCAGGCTCAGGCTCACACTGCGCTGCTGGGGCTGTTTGGCTGGATGGATGGGTGGGTGGATGGGTAGGTGGGAGAGACGAAAAGTTTGTTGACATGTAGAAAAATAGATGGAGGAAGGGAAGGAAAACTGTGAATGAAGCTATTAAGAACTAATTGGGCAAAATAAGTAAAACACACTAACACAGAAACTCTACCTTCAGCATCTCTGCTTCTCCCAAATATGTCCCGCAGACCTTTGGCCCCTCCAGTGAAGGTCAGGGATTTGCGTTTGGGTTCCCTTCGTTTTATCGAGTGGTCCGTCCCCGATGGTCGGAACTTGGCCAGAGGTGGGAGGCTCTGCCGGTAGAGGCCTCGCTCAGGGACACGACCCTGCCCGTCGGAGGCAGGCCGCTCGCTGACAGACGGGCCGGTTCGTTGGAGGATGAGCTGCACGTCGCTGGCATACTGACCCCACTTGTTGAGGGACACCACAGGGTTTTCATTTGGAGCCAGGTGACGTTCTGTATCCCGCCATTTCTCTATCAAAGTGTATCTGCCAGTGCGACCTGGGGCAAAAAGGGGAATGAGAGCGAGCAAAGTAATCAGTAGCTCCAGACACACACACTCATCTGGCTTGCCAAGTCTATTTATTGGTGCACTGCTAACCCTGGTTCTGCTTTTTAATCGTGTACCATCACTGGGTGAGTCCTGCAGAAGGATTTTAAGATTGTTGGACGAGTATGTTACATGTTGACCTTTTCCACTGGATCTCCTGCTGGTTTACACATGTAAATGATTACCCTCAATCCTAACAATAGATAATAAAACCTTCAATCTTCAAACCAAAGTTTAATTTTCAATTTTAGGTTTTAGAAACCAATACTTCTCTAAATTAATCAAATTAATCACTTAGATCCACCGATCCCTGTCACTAAATACCACTGATATGAAGTTACAGGAATAACATGACTGGTCCAGTTAGAATGAGGGTTTTCTTTAGGGATGATGTTTCAGCTCATGCATGTCCAACACAAGCTTCGTTGTTATAGTTGCCTTTTCCTTGGAGGTCCCTCTGACCTATGGTGTCCCACATGGATCTATTTTTGGCCCACTTGAACACACTGGTTGGAAATGCAACTTTCACTTGCTTTTTATGCAGATGACACAAGATTTATGGTGGTAAAGCATCCTTTTAAAATGATTAATACTAAGCATGCAGCCAAAAACCTCATGTGACAAATAAGGGACAAGGCAAAAGTATGTTTTGAAATTTTTTTTAAAAGTAGTTGTAGTTGCTTTTCTTCTACAGTGACAAGAAATAAAATAGACAAAACTCTTTTACAACTCTCCCACGCTCGTGCACCGTGGGCAGATTCAAAGAACTTCACCAGCGTGTTTGGTGAAAGAACTTTACAGTGGGAAAACTCAAGACAAACAGCGACTGTGTCTGGAAAAGGACTTGGTTCAATGGTTCACGGCCCCTTGTGTGTGTTATTGTGTGTGTTCTCCTGCATTCTTGTGTGTACACATACAGATAACAGCTTAACACCGCCCATTGCACCCTCACCCTCGTCTTGCACTGTAAGGGTCCTCGTAAAAGAGGCACATTCATCACCACAGCCGGCCATTCACATCAAAGTGGCCTGGGCTGGACAAAAAGGGGCACAGGGGACACAAAGGACAGTGAAAGCCATAACTCCTGATACACTGTCACTCTGCATGCTTCTTTGAGCTCTGAGGAAAAACGTCAATGAGTTTAAACAGAAATGAAGCAATAAATCTGTTTTTAAAAAAGAAATCATTTTAAGACTTCATGAAGCTTTACGCACAACACCAATCCACGTGATGACAAACAGAAGCAGAGTGACATCTTGTTTCTCTGCAAATGAACAGAACATGTCAATATAGCAGCGTCTGAAGTCGGGCTCATTTCGTTTTGTGCAGCCCATTTGTGGTGAATCTCTCTCTGTGCCCTCAAGTCACTTTTCATTTTCATGCAATTTATCATCTCCACTATGTCTGACAACCTGCCCGGGCCAATATTGGACACAGTCCACATCACATTGTGTCCCCATTGGTATTTCTGTGGGACGACATATCATTTACACAGTTTTTCGGCATTAAAAGGCCAGATGGAGAAGATTTCATCTCTAATCCACTCCTGTGTGGTGGTGGTGTCAGTTTGCCTTTTGGATTCTGCAAGATACATTACATTTATATCTCACAATCCTCTATCTTAGAATGTGATTTTAAAGTATCTGCCACCGACAAACAAGCAACATAAGTGAACCATCCTGTAAAAAGTAGTTTGGATCTTACCGATGGCTTGTGCCAGGGCAATGACCACTTCCTGGCATGTGGTGAACTCTGTGACCCCGCACACGATGCGCTGCACTCCGTCCACCCACACTTTCAGCTCCATGGCCTTCATCCAGAGGCCCTCATACCTCTACACCACTAGGGGGTGCTAATGATGATTTAATGTCCATCCTAAAAGCAAAAAAAAAAAAACATTGTTCAATGATTGTAAAGGAAAAACCGTGATTCTGCAACAAATATTATCAAATGAGAATAGATTAAATAGCTAAGGATAATATTAAAATTGTCGCTCATAATGACAAACCCACAGAGAGTTTTAGCAACTTTCAGCTCATTGTACAACTGCACTGTTTTGGTTCAATTTCATCACAATGACGTGTTTCCAGCAACAACAGTCCAACAGTAAAGAGCAGACAAGGTTGAGAATTTAGCAGGAAAAAGAGTCAAAAATCTGGTGGAGACCAAAACAGAGGTAAGTTTGTTACAATTTGTTCGATCTTAATAGCAGAGTTTTGTAAAGCAAGAACACAATGTGATCATATTGTCAGAATAAAAACTACATTTCCACAGCCTCACATTTCTTCATCCTTCTGTTTCAGTTAGTTTAAATAAATAAATCATCCAAACACAAACTACACGGTTGTGCAGAGTGTCACCGGCCTCTTGTAAAGCAACAACTCAACAACTTGCGACACTTGTTCTTTTGAGGCAGTTGCTGATAAATTAATGCAACAACACACTTGTGGTGCAGCGACTGCGACCGTCGAACAGGCCCCATTCAATACATTTTTCATTCGCCGGTGTCGGTGCAGGAGGGAGCTTACAGCAGTTGCATGCACGCAGAACGAGAGCCATTTCAAACTGCTGACACAAGCACGTCAGGCAGCGAGGCAGTCATTACGAAGCTGGCAAGGCCACAGCAGCGGGGCCGGAGCAGCAGAGCAATGAAGGAGCAGGTGCCTAATGCTCAGACTTATGCAACCCTACAGGGCGGCGGCGCTCCTTTTTCCTGACGGGGCCATCAGCTCCGCTCTGATCCTTGACTTTCATATGGCTTCAGGCCTCCCTTATTACAATTTAGGCATCTTCCATCTTTATCACAGCTGGAATGGGACTCCAATCTCTCCTGCTATTTAACTCCCGCTCCCCCCCCCGAGGCCTCCTCCTACCGAGACCGCATTACATTGGATGCTCCTTGGCATCTGGAGAGGGCAAGGCCTGCATTTGGTGCGGAGCAGGACGATTTGTAACCGTAGACAGGATACTGCAGGATGCATCTGAACCCAGACACCTGTTTACAGCCCAGTAAATGAGACTATTACCCTCGAATACAGCTCAGTGGGACACAGAATAGAGGTGGACGAGAAAGGAAAGGAAGACAAATCACTGTGGAGGGGCAGATGGATAAACAAAGAAAGCAAGGTGAATGGAAAGAAGAGAGGGAGATGAGGGTAGTCAAAAGAATGTGCAACATTAAAACAGCACAAATATATACCCACAAACAAAATACCCCCAAGATACAGTGTAGAAGTGTCTAATATCTAAATAGCCATTAAAAAGATTCTCTCATCAACATGTGTCCAGAGTGAAACCATTGTTTATAATCTGAATCTACTCTTTACTGGAAATCAAAACTTGACCTCATTGTATTTACAGCTTGTTAACAAAAAGCTCTGAGACACAGTTTTGTTAAAACACACAGCGTCCAAACAGACGCTCTCCATTCTCACAGCTGTGGTCGAAATGTTGTAATACAGTGTTTATTCAATGACGAGCGATATCCAGATCACACTGAGGTCTCATCCAGCAGGAAGAGCCAGTTCACACAAGCTTGTAAATCTGATTCCCTCTTTGTGCGCGCACACACACACACACACACACAAGCACACACGCACACGTGAAAAGTCTCTCACACGTCCTCAAAACAATTATCAGGAACTTATCATAAAATCAGAGCTAAATTAGTTTTTTCACTTCACTTAAATCCAAATATCATTTCAACATTTCATTACTGAGAAGAGAATCTAACATTCATATGTTGATGAATTAAGGTGAAAGATTTAGGCTTTAAGCTATGATCCGATCTAGAATGAGGCATACAACCTGGTAACTGGTTGTGTGTCTCCGCCAACCATTTCTTTTTTCGAAGATCACTGTAACCTTTGACCTTCTACCACTGAAATCAGTTCAACCTTGATGACAACTGGTCAAAATAGAAGGCAGACTTAAGATATCATGTTCAAGAGGCCAACCACATGCTTTGTGTGACATGACCTTGATCTTTGACCACCGACAGTTAATCAGTTAATCCACGAGTCTAAGTGAGGATTCTCTCGAGGTGTTGTGAGGTCACAGTAACCTTGACCTTGGAACTTCAAAATCAAATCAGTTCATCGTTGAATCCAATTGAACGTTTGTACATTTGAGGAAATTTCATCAAGATGTTCTGAAGATACTGTGTTCACAAGAATAGGAAGGATGGACTAACGCCTCTATCCACTAGCTGTCACTGCCACGAAGTTATAAGAAAGGTAAATAAGCCACCGTTTCCACTAAGGTTACAGTGTCTATTTAATTGAAACATCAATGCCAGACATCTTCAGTTGCAAGTGCAGACATGTGGAGACAACACGTATAATAGTAGAAGATATAAGGTCAACCGACCACACAGTAACTCTCCTTTCTTGGTCAATCAACGGTTATTTTTCTCTCCTTGACTCGTTCTCACTGGCCCCTTGGCACACATAACACAACATATGTTGAGAGATGTTTGCTTTTATCAGAGGTGGCATACAGTACAGTAACATAGGAGCAGGCAGCTGTGCAGGAGCAGATGTTTCGGGGGTTGCGAAGTGGAACCGAGCAGATCTATATGTTCACAAGCTTTGATTATTTTCATAGCTGCAGAGATGCTCTACACGGGTGACTACGGGGAGAATCAAAATCTGGCTCCTACAAGCTACAGTGAACAGGATATAGAAGCTGTGACGTCAGAGAACATGCACCGCTTTGGCATCAGACTCAATGTCAAACTAATCGAATTCCTTGCTCTGCAGTTCAAACAACACAGCCACTGAATCAGTTTCCTTGTGGAAACGATCTTCGATTTTCTTTACCCAGCTAATAACTTCCAACACTTGAATCATTAGGACACCGTCATGCCTGAACCACCACTGCTGCTTATTTCACCCCCCCATGGCTGTTATTGTGCTATGTTTTCTTATATTTTCAACATGTTATTTCCTCTTTCTCTCTGGTTAAGACTTTGATCTAAATTACAGTTCTTTGAAGCCTCCACTGCCACCGAGTGGATAAATAAATCATACAGGCTACATGGTACGCACACACAAATTAGCATGCTGCAATATGTGTCCTTCTATTTTGGTTCAGCCTCACTTTAAATGTAAACCTCCATATTTAGCGGCAGGCCCCGCTCACTGAGCTTTGCATTTCCACGGTAAGTGACCTCAGAACCTGCAGGAAAAGTGCTGGAGCTGCTGGTATTTCCTTTCCCATTCTTCACAGTTTAATAAACAGACTCATCTCTCCACATTCCTACTCCACGACACATTCATAGGGAATCCAGGACGGAGTTAGTCTCTAATTGCAGGAGAGTCAGTGACCTTCAGCAGAGAAAGTCACTACAGGTAGATTCAGGTGGATTTATCTTGAACCTCTGAACTACTGAACCAAAACCAAAAAACTGATTGACAGCACTGATTAGTTGAGTAACTCAACACCACAATTGCTACTGCGCAGACTTTGGCTGTAAAATATGTCACCAGTGTAACGCCCACATCCAGGATATTTTGGCTTCACTTTAGTACAAGGAGATGAAGTGGAGTCTATTTTTTATTTACAGTCTATTATCTCAGCACTGTGTATTTACTGTATTTATTTGCTTTGAAAAACAAAGATAGGTCCACTCTAAAAACACCAAAATGAAAATGCTGTCATGTTTGGAATAGCAGGTTGGCGTATAACTAAAGAAAGAGCTGCTTCTTCAGCAGAGGAGATGGAGGCAGAGTTGGTCGAGGGCATATGAGAAAAGATTTGGAAAGATACCACTCATCTCTACTATGGAGAAAAGGTTCCTGTTCCTCAGTGCAAATCAACAATTTTTGCTGGAGCCATCTATGTTCCAGACGTGAAGAATACCATGTCGTCTGGGCAGTGAACCATCGAGCTAAACTTAGCGGTGACTTCAGTTCGCCTCCCCTGAAGTGTCATTCTCAGGATGCCACAGAAAGGCAGAGCTAGGGAGGGGACACTGTGGTACATAGTGTTTCTTATTTATGTTTCCTCAGAAATGGACAGTTCATGAGACAGCTCAGCGCGTAAGATCCTTTAATAGCCCTGAGACGAGCTTACAAAGAATATTGAGATTGAAAAATGTAAATGAAAGCTTCTAGTGGCACATCAACTACAAATCTGGGTTTAAATGCAAAGTACCCATCAAGGAGTTCATTTCCTGGCGTGTTCGGCTGAACGCTCTCAGCCCGTCGCTAAATTAAACTTTAACAAACTCATTGATCAGGTTTGAACCAATGACCCCTGCTCATATCCGGCAGCCTGCCAACAAAACAAAACTTTGCACAAAAACGAATATCCAATTAATTTGCTGCCAAATGTCACATGTTTTCTTTGAATACACCGATGTCAGTCTAAAATTTAAAAAATAAAATATATCTTGTGAAAATTACTGAGGAGACGAGGCTTTTTTGAAGCAACAACAGACGATGACGCAGCCACAGGCCAATTTTTGCAGCAACAAGGAGGCAGCGGCAGCAGGAGGGGGTCCACTGAAACAAGGGGTGCACGGACAAAAGAGCACGCTGCAGTGTGTGTGTGTGTGTGTGTGTGTGTGTGTGTGTGTGTGTTGCATGCCCACATGGCTAGCTAGATGCAAACAATCCCTCACCATGGCGACCCAGCTCTGCCTTTGTCCGAGCTTTACACAGATGACTGGATTGATTCGAGGGCACAGTCTGGGAAAGCAAACCAAACAATCAGCAACAATTAAGAAGCAAACCCGTGCTTTCCTGTCACTTCCTCTTTGTCTCCGCTGAATGTGGGCTCCGAGAAAACACGGAGGTGTGCGCTGCAGCGGGGTTTCCCGAACTCAAGAGGTATAGTAAGTGGGGTCGCTGCAGAAAGGTCTCTTAGCTGATCTGCAGGTGGAGATTAAGTAATTTAATTATTTAAATTGGAGCAGATGTAGGGTTTTAGTTCACCTGCTTAAGCGGAAATGAAATCTCATCCTAGCTAAATTAATATACTTCACATTAAAAACTAGAATGTCACTTTGCAGAGTGATTCCTGGATCCAGTTTAACTTTAGAGACACTATCTGAAGTTTTCTTTGTGGTGGTCCACCGCCAGATCCCATGACGGCCATTTTTTGTGTTGCGGGTGGGAACAATAATAATCTTTCCGGATCTAAACTCAGGATAATGAGATCTCCTCACCCTCCCAGCTGAATTCAGCGAGGTGATGCAACATGTCAAATGTTTGAGATGAGAAATTGAGATTTGCTGCACATGGATCCTCTGACTTTGAGGGAGCCTGGAAGCCCTTTGTGGACAAAACTGGAGTCAAACTCAGGCCCCGCACACCCCCTCTTTTCTTTTAAAGATAAGCCTTGAGCCTTGTGTTTAAGTATTACTCCCTATTTGTCTGTATTTATGTATATTTTTCTTTATGTATTTTTTTGCTTTTTGTTGAAAAAAGCAATACAAATCCTGACTAAACATAAATAACAAAATAAAATCACATTTAAATTCACTAGATTTAACTCATTACTTGGATGTGCACAAAATTGCACATCATAGTTCAGTCTCTTAAAACCGCCTGATTCTTTTCATTTGGATTTATGAATTATCCTCTGGGAAATCTGGGAAAACCACCTCTCACATCCTGAAACGTTAAAGAAAGTGTTAAAAACAATTCCTGGATCTGCACCAAACTTTTACGGTTCTTTCATGGCCACATATCTCATCCTTTCACCATGTTTTGTGAAAATCCGTTCAGCAGTTTTTGCGTAACCCTGCTGAAAATCAAACGGACAGGGGCAGAAACATAACCTCCTTGGCGGATATAACAATATATTTATTCCTAGGATTCATCCACTGGGGACGACTAATGACTGCACTAAATTTCCTGGCAGTAGTTGTTGAGACACTTCGGTGTGACTGACATTGCCACTCCTGGAGCCACGCTGCCAGCGAGGCTAAAAATAGCCTCAGGAGCTGCTCGTGTCAGCAGGTATTTCTAATATAAAGAAGCAAATTTAATTAGGATTTGACCCCTGTGCTCGGACAAGATGGCACTTTTCCTGATGGAGTATCCTGAGCTTCTTCCTCATGCTGCTGGACTACACGAGGAAACGCATGCTCCTCCACCTATTGTTAACACATACTGCAATCATAACGTTTCAGCCTCCTGTGTTCCTTTCGGTTTCCTCGTCAGTCGTGTGCTGCTGAGCGTTGATGCCTTTTAGAGATTACATCCACATCAGCCCTGTCAGGTGAGGGGAGAGCTGCAGGTTTAACACAAGCTGGAATAAGCTGAGTGAAACACAACACAACAGCTTCGTGTTCAGGTAGCGTCAATCCGTTCAAGAAACGTATGTAAGATTTAAATGTGAACAAGCGGTGTGGCGTTTTGCGCGGATGCAACATATGGTGAACGTGTCCATTTTAATCCAAATTAGTAGGACACATGTTAAAAAGGCTGTTGAGCACGACACCAGTTGCTTTGATTGTGTTAAAACTGCTGCAAATGCTTGAAAAACAGCATCAAAATCCAAATCTGCATTATAATTATGTCATTTCCTGCAGTGCTACATGGCAGCGGACACCATATAATGAAGTTGAGTGATCAAATTGCCACCTTGCAGTCTCAAAAGTTAAAACTAATCAGCTTGGTGGAGACAATAAGCCTTTAACCCTGTAAGACTCGGAGCTTAGCCAACCATGAGGTGGTGGGAGGTGTGTGGGAGGGGTTTACAAGGTGAACAATCTGGAACATTATCATTTCTCTCTTGACACAGATCTTTATGTGAATATTCCTCAAATAACAATAATTAGTTGAATCAATGCATTGTGAATTCAAAGTGGGGACGACACAGGGGAGGGAACTGGTCCGAGGGATTCGTAGACGTAGTCTGGATCTAGAGAGTGGAGAACTGACCGGATGTTTAAAGGCGTCTTTACCTGCAGAGATTGGGGTTGATTCAAGGTTAGAATACTGAAGAATTGATTCAGTAATTAATCCACTGATTAAAAGTCAATTATTGACTTGAAACTTGGTGCAGGGATTTGATTATTGGTCAGGGAAGAACGCATCAAATTCCCAGGGGATAATTCAAGGATCTTGAGGATCAAAAACATAAACATATTTAGGGAACTGATATTTAGGAATGCAGTCTGTCAGCTGGAGGTATATGTGCTCCACTGAGTCCCATAGTTATAATACTCGGATAATTTAGGGGATTGGACTACAGAAAATAATCATTAGGACAAAACATGTTTCAAAACAGTTTTTACTGGCTAAGAGACACAATCCAAGCAGATTTTAAGTGTTGCACAAGGTCAGGATTTGAAAATGATTGCAATGAGTAAATGGCAAAATAGTAAATTAATATGTGTACATGAAAAAAGGGATTTATGAAAGATGGAAAGAGCACATGTAGTTCAAGTGACGAGTTTAGTTTAGCAGAAAGTGCATCTGTGATCTCATATTCTATTATCCGATGCACAAATACACGCATTTTCATACCACAAACCTAGAAGTGGCTGTAAATGAATGAGAGTTGCCCTTGCCTCCATCACATGTGTGTTTCAAGGACTCCTCAGTCTGGACTGTGGTTGTCTGACTCAGTTGAAGGAACTCTGATTAAAACCACTGCTGAGTGAGCCCTTAAAGCCCAAACTCTATTAAGAGATTCATCACTGCAGGGCTCACACACACACACACACACACACACACACACACACACACACACACACACACACACACACGTCATGTGGAGAATCTCTCCAGGGTCACAACATGTTTTGATGATGAAGTGTGACCAAAAAAAAAGAGATTATTCAATTTTCTGCAGCATCTTCCTGCAGATTCTCACAGGAGGATGATGGGAATTCATCTGAATGCATCTGATCCCCAAACAAAGTTATGCAACAACATCTGATCACTTTGTTTTCTGATATAACAGAAGTCGTTTTCCAGAAGGAGCCCAACAACCTGCAGGTTTTAAATGTTGCCTTCACTGACGCATCAAAGCCCCCCCCCCCCCCAGTAAAAGCACTGACCACACTGCTCCTGTGTATAAAACAAACATACCTCAGTTACAGATGATTTCAGGACATGTTTTTAGAAACTCTGCTGCCCCACTCTTCCTCTCTGGAGGAGAAATCTCTCCCGGTGCATGGTCCGCGGCCCGGATCCTGTTTTTATTCCGATCCGTGCATCGCAGGGAGCGGACACGTTTCTCTCCCTCCGCCGCCTCAGTGTGGATGACGATGGCCCGTGTGGATGTAAACACGCGTCACTCCACTCATCGGACATCCGACACGGAGCTCAGACACACGGCGCTCCTCCTGCTGCAGCCCCGCTGTGAAGGAGGGAGCCCAGGAGCAGCGTGCTGGAAATTACATGGGAACACAAGTGGGACAGCGCAAGGCATGATGGACCGGTTAAAGCTGCAACGCACTGGCGACACGAGTGGACCCCGGGATCCTCACATGTCTGATGCTGTCACCCAAGACTTTGTTGTGTTAGGAGACAATGTGGTTTTCGATCAATCTGTATTTTAACATGAACTTATTCATGTTTTGGGGGAAATCATTCACCATGAATTAAACATTTCTCATGAAAACCCCAATTTTCTTTTAATTTTCTTTGGAAATTAAACCTGCAATGGACTTTCCACTGATGCAGTCACCAAAGACTTTGTAATAAAAACTCAAGTTGTCTTAGGGTTAGGGATATATATGACATAATGTCTGTCAGTCCGATCCATCAAATATATCTGGTGGCGATTTTGGCCACCAGTTGACGACCACTGATGTAGTTTATCCGAGGATGTAGAAGAAGATATGTTGAACCTGCCGTCACTGACTGCAAGGCACTGTTTACCTAATTGTGTTAGTAATGATCGCATCACATGTCCGAATTGCACAAAATCGGACTTTTCCTGGACCATCAACAACTCACCAACCAAGTGTGAAGTCGATACGATTTACATTTTGGGAGATATAGAAATACATGTTTTTTATATCTCTATGTCAAGATATTGATGTATATCTATATCTATCTACAGCAGGGAGTCTGCAGGCAATGCTGCACCATGCTATGAAATGGAAATATTCTGGATGTCTTTGTGCATCATTTCACTCACTGACTTCATTGGTATCTTTGGAAACATTTCGATCTCCACTAGAATTAAGTATAAGTCTGTGGGATGTTTTGCTGCACAACATAAGTAGGAAGGAAACAGTGAAGATTTAACAACATGTAATTCAAGTTACAACATTTATATTCTCATTTCTGAGTTATATTCAGTGTCCAACCTCACTTTTGACAACTCTATGGCAACAGCCGATAAGCCTCACTTCTCATATAATATTAGAGTAAAGATACAGGGATGGGTTTCATGTATCGCTGCTGTTTTACTCAAGGACAAACAAGTTGTGAATTTGTGTGAGTGTTTAAATTTAAATTCCAGTCAAGAATGATGTCGACATACCTCAGCATTAATCATGACAGCTGCCTGTTGTGCTGACCGTGCAGAAACTTTGTTCTCAGTAAACTGTAATTTCACTGGAACTCAGAAACATAATCTGCTAAAACTGAAAAAAACAAACACTGCATTCTTTTGTGCTCAGCTTTTGACAAATTCTGCCAAATCAGAGTCGATGATTCAAATTTTTAATCTGTTCCGTGTTGCTTAATTAAGCAGCATCTCACAAATCCATTTTATAAGCAAATTACTTTATATGAATCATACATTTTTATAAAATCCATATGTGTGTATCCTTTATTTCCTGCCAGCTTTAATTTTAATAGCAGTCATTGGTTCCAGAGTTGTAGGTTTGGGCCCATACATCAGTTTACAATGCAGAAATGAATCCTCAACATATGGTGAAGCTGTTGTAACAATCAAGTCATGAGTGATTGATGTTTTCTTTCAGGCAGCGGTGACAAGTGCTGACAGATTAAAGGATTTAAAACCCATCTTCAGACGTAAAGCACACAGTACTGGCTGAGGCTGTTAGTGGCGTGTCTGTGGTACAATAAAATCATGAGGCATCCCTGTCACTCACATGGATTTATAATTATTTAATGCTTTGTACAGAAAAGTTATTCAAATTGGATATCAGACACTTACAGTTTGAGCTAAAACAGCCAATTTCCAGCCAAATGTTGCCAGCAGCCAAATGGTTAAGGCCCCGACACGTGTTTTCACTTTGCCTCATTAGACCTTTTCTCTGGACTGTTGGTGTGAACACACTGTGCCTGAGGGAGATTGTTCTCACTCTCTCCAGGTTTCTTTGCACCTGTAAAAAAAACTTTAACCTTCAACAATCCTCTGGTCCTAAAAATTTAATTTGCAAGCAGCGCAGAGGTTTAATCAGACAGAACTCTAAATTGAATATAAAGATGGACGACGCGTCTCCACTACCTCCCACTATCCAGAAATGAAGCTAAAATATGCCCGGACACGACAGCAGCCATCTTGCGCATTTGGAGTCTGAGCAGCATCTATCAGGAAGTCACCGGAAAAATAAAGAAAAATAATTTTTGATATGTATTTTGATTTTTTAGTTTGGGCCATCTCTCATCCATCAACATTAAGGAGGCGGAGTTTATGACCTATACTGCAGCCAAGAGTCTCTTTGGCTTCACTTTTGTGGAGCAGTCATTGTCGTCCATATTTATGCACACTCAAGCAAGAACGAGTAAAAAGACTTCTAGTTTGTGGTAAAGGCTGAATAATATGCATATACTTTACCAAATTAATAACAAAAGACTTAAATGAAACCTTTGTGATGATTCATCTCACGCAAACAATCCTGGACCTTCACAAATGTGATGCTTTGTTATGATGTGAGCAGTCAATACATCCGTCTGTATTGAAATGAAAGATATCCACAAGAAGAAACTCTCATCGAACCTTGAACATCTCCATCAATTCAATTATTTAATACTTCTGGGGCACATTTTGTAAAGATTGAGGATAAGTTAGTCTCCACGTTCCTCATCTTTCTCTCATCATCGCTTTGTTCAATTCTTAAAATGTGTGTGCTTGACCTTCTGCCTTCTATTAAACCCGTGTGTCTGCACGCTGTCTGCCATCAGTTCAAGACACAAACTCTTGCCCCGTCTGTTGTCAGGACCTGCAGACGTGAGCTGCTCTTTTAATCCCTTTCTCAAACTCTTCAACATGCTTTCTCCGACCGGCTTCTCTGTACCAGTCACAACACGACCTCCTTGACCCCAGGCAGTCACGAGTCAGGCCAGCAGACACCCCAACTACTCTGAATTTCAAAAGCACTCCACTCTCTTCATGCCGCCTCCTTATTCCTGGTCCTCATCATTCTTGACCTGTCTCCGGTGCATGGCACAGTCGGCCATTCGTTTGTGCTTGGCACCTCTGCAGACCATGTGATTTGAGAATTTAACTGTATAGGATCTCTGTCTTTCTACCTGGCTGCGTCTATGAAGCTTTCATTGCTGGAATCCCTCAAGCGCTTAATCCCTCTATACTTCTATACTGTCCTTGCTCTCATAGTAGTGAGCTGATCTTCCCTGCTCAGGTGGAATTTTGGAATCAGTTTTCAGTGTTAGAATGAAAACTTTAAGGCAGACAGATTTCTCCTTCTTCTACTGTCCCCAAAGGTCAACGCCAAATTGGAGTCCTCCCCTCTGAACCAGACTTCCTCTGAATAGAGTATTTGATAGTCATCATGAAGACAAACTGAAACTGAAGGACCCTGGTGTGGGCGACCCAAAGACTAAATGACCACTGAAGGATTCTCCTTCCCTTTAATACAAACACTTCTTTTTACTCATCTAATAACAGCACTGGCCCTGTTTGGTTCTCAGTAGAGCACATACCTCCACTAAGGACCCTGTGTCGCAATGCTACAGAGAGTCGGAAAAATTCCTGGATCCATCCATGAGTGTGGATCCACAAGCAGATGTATTGATATACAGCAGCTGAAAAAGCCATTTTCCCTTGTGAAACCTAATTTACATGTAAATAGTTACTGGTCTGTATTTATACAGCACTCAAAGCACTTTAAAGTACAGCTTTTGCATTTCACTCATCCAGACACATATGAGCAGCGCTGTCTATATGAGAAGGGACAATTTGGGATTCAGTATATTGCCCAAGGACACTTTAGAATGCAGAATAGGGAAGACAGGGACACAAACCTTCAGGTCAAAGGACGACAGCTCAAACCCCTGAGCCAAAGCCACTGGTGCATCAATCATCAGTCTAAATATGCCAGATTCTTTTCATCAAGATCCATCTAAGAAAATGTTTCCTGTAAATTTGTTGAGACAAACAGCTGAAGAACTAGAAGACAATTATAAGAGATGTCTTTGTCTTTTTCTTCCCAGCTGTCTGTAGAAGCTCTGTACTCTAAACTGCAGACCTGTGATTCTCAGCATTTGAGGCTTATGAGTGTTTAAAATAAAAAAAATGCCCTCATGACTACGTGCCAACATCTGCATGTGTCTGGACGTGACCAGTTCAACTGAGGGGATTTCCTTTAAATAACTGCACAGAATGTTCCAGCCTTTCTTAAGAGACAAAGGCTGCAGGAAATTTATGGATTTAATTTAGGTAGCAAATATTTTTTGCTCGTTCATCTCTCGACGTCTTGAGTCATTGTTTTCGATAAAATACTGTCTAGTATTTTGCCTAAATCAAATAAACTAATTACCACATTCTGACTGGGTTGAAGTAAAATACATCTGATTGACGGGCATCAAATCAAACAGCTGCTACAACACACATGACAATGTTGGCTGAGATTTCATCCCATTTAAATGATGTAGAATTCTTTGTTCCTTTTTCGAGTTTTCTGTTCTCGTGTTTTAATTTCTAGCCTCAGCACAGGTTTCTCATATTTGCAATTATATGGCTACGAAACCTTAAGGGATTCCTCTATGTTCCATGTGGGAAAAACCTTTTCATAAGCTCCCTGTTCTACCTCCTCTCTCTCTGAGAAATCTCTCTGCTTCCTGGCTGTTTTGCTGCCAAAGCTTAATATCACACTGTTATCTGGCAAACCTGGGTGCTTTTAATTAACTGACCAAGAAAGGGATTAACTCAAACCTGGTCCAAACAAAGGGCGAGAAAATCACTGGGCTCAAGGGGAACAAGGGTCCTTTGAAACCACGACCAAGGTGTGGTGCCCTGTGGGAGGTGCTCTATTTGAAATTTCTCCAAAACATAAAACAAATGTGTGAAAAATCAAGTGTAAAAGCTGGAAGTCGAAAAGAGATGGAAACACACAAGAGAAAGTGAGTTCGATGAGAATGAGCTTCTTAGAAACTAAGCTCAGCTGTAGTAGTGCCTCCTCCTGCAGCTGAGCTCATTCACAATGTGTAGCTCTACATCTTCTTTTTATTCAGTAACTGTTTTTAAAGCAGTATGGCAGCGGAAACAGGATGTTTTGTCATTAGATCATTTATTTCCTGGGCCTGCTGCATACACCCTCACAGTAATAATAGTTCTTATACTATTTTGACAACATATTTTACACATTATTAATATTATAATTATGTAATTTTGTAGGAAGGAGTCCTTAGGTCAAGCAATGTTCTGCTTTGTTAAATGTAAAACTAAATAAAATTTCAATGTATTTATATAACGGTTCACTTTCATAGTGCTTTTTCTCCCAGTTAGCTGAATTGTGTTAGTGTCTTTGTGTTGCAATATGTTGTGAAGAGACCTCTGTTCTTTCAACCATGTCTTAGAAACAGCTCACACACATGTATGAGTTTGTGACATCACCTGGTGGTTCTTCATCCCAGATGTTCTTAAAAGATGAAGAGGAGTAAGGGACACGTGTCGGCTTGGGGAAACCACTGGACCGAGTTCTGGAAAAAAAGAAAAGCTTCATTTTACATCTGAAATGTTCTTGAGTGATTATGTCAGTGAGAAGCAATTTGCTCTTGAGTGCTGACGCCCTTCACAATGGCCTCAGTGTAAAGGAGAGAAAAGTCAAGCTGGCTTCTTTTCAGCCTGTTTTCCACTGCTGCTGCTCATCTGTGAAAGAATCTCTGTTTCTACCTCAAACATGTTCTTTCATTAAATGACAACCTCCACTTCACCTCTACCTGCTCCACTAACAAACACGTCCTCTCTCATGGTACAAGTGGTTATTTGGACATTCCTTATTTCTGAGTTGGGCTATAAATTTCTTTTCTATAGGCTTCAGAGAGCTTGAACCCCCTCCTCTAGTTTTGGGCTCTTTTGAAACAAAATAACAAATGGGGACATTTAATTATTCTTGTCATCTAAAAAAGAGACGATTCTCCCCACGAGGAAGAATAAATCTGACCAGTTCTCAGCTGTGAGAGACAAAAAGCCTGTTGTTTAAAGGATTTCACTACTTCTGCAAACCAGAGGCTTGGAAATCATGCACTTTGTCACCAGAATAGCTCACAAAGTGGGTGAATTAGAGCTTATTAGCAGGGAAAAAAGAGGAAAAGTGCAGATTTGAGTTCCTCAAATAGAACAGCTCAGAGTTAAACCACTTAAAAAATGTCGGATTAGGAGTCAGTGAATATGCAAAACAAATGTTGTTTGAGGGCAAAGAACAACTGGGGGACAATTTTACACTGAATCTGTTCTGCTCATCATCGAGGAGACTCAATGATGATGAGTTGATGCTACACCACTGCCCCCTGCAGGATATATCAAGAGAAAACCTCCACTTTTCTTCATTTATTTGCTGGGACAAATGGTTCTTAAATTATTCCATATCATTTGTGAATCATCCTGCATTTTCTGCCTTGTAATACACATGCAAATACGTAGAAAATGCACTTTACACACATAAAAACAACCTGCAGCAGCTTAGAATGAAGCCAGAAAACAGGAAGAACATCAATTTTACATCACGTCATGCTACATTATGTCCCAGGCACCTGCAGATGGAGACTAAGTGTCTTCTAAGAGCACACGTCCTCTCTCCTGTGCAGGCTGGATATGCAGATATATGAAGACAATCACTGACACAAAGCTGTAATTACTTTAGTGGGATGCTGTTAATTTGGTTTAGGGAAATTCAACCACCGCCTGGAGTCAAGCGAGGCCTTTGTAGATTTCCCGGATGGGAGCGGCTTCATTAGACGGAGTGGATCTCTGGGGGGATTTTGTCTGTTTTAAATGCAAAGTGTCAGAACGCGACCACCGAGGCTCTGAGGGTGAGAGGGACCGGTGTCATAAGTGGAAGCTGATCTGAGTTTAACAGATGAAGTGACAGAGACAAAGGGAAACACATTAGGACAGGTGCGTCACAAAGACAGGAAGTAAAGCAGGAGAGACATAGGGAAAGAAGTTCCAAAATAAAACAGGAAATGAAGTGCAAACAACCAAACACAAAGAAAACAAGGTTAACGTCCATACAACAGAACATTTTTAGTCTTTCACAAAAATAGAGCAGAATCCTGACAGCTGGATGTGGCATCTCTACCTGTGGTGTAAAGAGAAGATAATGAACAATAAAGTTTATTTAAAACTGTTTATTCATTTGAGGAAACACTAAATAAGGCAGACAGCAGGAGAGCAGCTTGTTTTAAAGCAGGAAGTCTTAAAATACATTTATATACATGAGATATATACAGGTTGATCTTCATCCTTATTTTGAGTTTAAATATTGAATTTGTTTTTCATTGAGCTTCTTTCATATAATAACCTGAAGTGAGAAAAAAAACACACAGCAAAACCATAAACTGACCAACAAGCTGCCACTATTAAATAAACTATGAAAACATAAAGGAATATTAATTCAGGGAAAGTTTCTAAATTCCTCCATCAGTTTGTCTGAACATGAGGCACAAAGACAGCGGCTGCAAATACCTGATGCTTTTAATGAAGGATAATAAACTAACATGTGATTTAAAAGTCACATTAATGTGAATAGTGTTACCGTTTTTTTAATATGTTCTTACTCTCAACATTTGACTCTTTTCTTATTTCCACTTTTACAAAAAAATCTAGAAACCACGCTTGTTCTTTAGCTACAGTCCGAGCAACACATTCAAACAAACAAAGAAAAGTTTTGAACCATTTCATGAAACCTTAACGGGAAATACAGACGTAGTTTACAATGTTTCGTCTGCAGCATCTTCTACTAAACAGCGGTTCAAATAAAGGGAAACAGTGCAGTGGGTGACTTGTGACTACAAGTGTTGATACTGCGAACAAGTGCAGCTTGGAGAACGATGTACTGAACACGAGGGAGGAAGGTTCAGTTTCGTCCAGAGTTCACAGCCTTTGTCGTTCTCACATTGATGAAATCAGTTTTCCTGTAGCCGCACTGCAGAGAGAGAGAGAAAATACAGGAAGTTAAATCAACTAAACAACAGGTGATTCGTTGTCTGTATGGAGAGCCGAAACAGTGAATAAAGAATGAGTAATAAATACACTGCACACATTTTCATAATGACATATTTCCATATCTCCACTTTTATTTTTTTACATTTAATTTCAATTTACATTGTTTTTCACTTATTGCTCCTGTATGTTTGGTTCCTGTTGTCATCTTTCTCCTTCAATGACCTAATGCTTCTTCACTTGCTTTATCTTTTCACCCAAGTTTTCTACTAAATATGTTTGTAGTAGATCAGACATGTCACAACGTGTTAGTGGTTTAACATGTCTGCTCTGTTCTGTTATGCAAAACTGATCAGACAATGCATCAGACGGAGGAATCCCACATGACTTCTTTTGTAGGTCCTGTGTTATACTGTGACACACTCACCTTCTTGTAGGCTCCATGGAGATCAGTGTATTTCCACATGGTGTGCAGCAGGGCGCACGCAGCCTGACCCGCTCTGGTTGGTCCATAACTACGGCACAGAGAGGTGAAATCATTCTGTCTTGAATATATAATACAGGTACGCATGACTGTGTATCAGGTAGCCTGAAGATTTATTATTTCAGAAAAAGGAGGGATACCTGCAGGACATTGAGGGACAGTAAATAAATTCCTTACTTTTCTGCTTTTCTTCTATTTCAACTTGTGTTTTGCATTTGATGCGTTTGAACTAAACATCTTCATGTCCGTGTCACAGAAAAGTGCGAGTCCTTCATTTGTGCCGTGTGAGCTGTGACAAGGTGAGTGCCGACTAACCCGCTGTCTCTGCTGCTGATGTTGATGATCTTAGAGAGCGCCCCCTGGTTCACGATGGCTTTGACGTGCTGCGGGTCGCTCTGACACAGGTTGAACAGGATGTGACACAGAGATGCCGTCACCTCAGTGGGCAGGTCGGTGCCCGTGTCGTCGTTGGGCAGCATCGCCACCAACTCTGGCAACACCTGCTTCACTTCAGGTGGGGAAAAAACCCACACGTGGAAATATATGGAAGACAAAGAATATTGAAATTGTACAGTTTCAGGTATGCAAAATCAAAAAAGTTTGCAGTACAAGTGAAAACAACACGGTTAATTTCAAAAATGCCAAATTATCTTGTGTCGTCACACAATGACGTCACCCATCGGTGTTGTTGAACCATATTTGGAGGAGTGGGGGTGTTGAAGAAGACTTGAAACTAGAGAGTGAGACCATAAACTCTATAGATCCTGACTGCCCCCTGCTGGTTGTTTGAATGAATACAGGTTGCAAGCGCCCCCACATTGGCTTCACTTTCCAGTCCCAGTGTGAAACGTACCGATGTCAGGATGCAGTTCATGGTGGTGAGAGAGGTTTCTTATCAGGGACACGGTCGTCCTCTTCACGTCGGTCTCTCTCCCCTGCAGCATGGTCTTGACTTGATGAAGACCATTCTCCCGCTGGACAACAGTGAAAGCGATGGCTTCACACACCTGCCACAGAAGACATGGGAAATATGTGATATGTTTATTGTACTTCAGAAGAACAAGAAAAAAAGAAACACTACATATAAATATGC